TGGGGAGAGAATTGATTCACCTGATCTTTTGGAGCTGTAGCCACCGGTTTTGCTTTTCTCAGTGCTTTTCTTCTGCTTCCAAACCTGAGTTGGCTGAGTGTCTCGGCTTTTCTCTGGCCAGTTTAGTCTCTCCTTTACGTTCCTTTTCCTACTTAGTTCTGGTTCCTCAGACTGGAAAAAACCAGCCTTTGTTTTAGAGAGTCATGTTTTGCTTGGCTATCTTCATGTTCTATCTCTTTACCCTTTCCCCTTTTTCCACATGATACTGTTCCTTGTGACACCGTCCTTCTCTTTCTCTGTTGTGGTTGTTGCACTTGAAAAGGATATGTTGATTGAGAAGCATATCTTGAGAAGCTTTTTGTATTCTAGTTCTATGGGGACTACTTCCCCTGTCTTGAAATGCGCCATCTTGCGGAATTGCAGTGGTGAGTCAACTTTGGCTCAAACTCGAGCACGAACATATTCCAGGGAGCTAGATTGCTTGGCGTGGAGTTCCACAGTCTCTACTCGACCAAGCGGTTCCACAATAGTTTGAACTGCTTGCTTTTTGACGAGATCAATTGGAATACCTCTAATGCGGATCCAGAAGGGGATGATGTTGAGGAAATCTAGCCCTGGGGTTGGTTTCCACTGTTCAAGCGCCACAATCCAACCATTGACAAACCATGGTCCGCCATGAAGAGCATGAGAGAGGTCTCTGTCATTTTGGAAGATGAACTGAGCCATGTGTTCGCCTACTCCTTGAGCTCAAACCCTATCTTCCAGCCTCCAAATCGGCGTTAGAGCTTTAGTCAGGCCTCCTACCTAGTGGACCGTTGGGTTCAAGCAGCGTACAATAATGATATGTGAGTTCTCCTCTATGAGGTCTTCATTTTCCAGATCCGAGATCTCTACCACCTCTCCTACTTCTAGCAGATCTAATTCCTTGAGTTCTTCCAGAAGAGACAAATCCCGTTTTTTCTTGGATCGATTCATACCCAAGCACTCCACGGGGAAGTTTCAAGGTACTAGGGGCCTATGAAAAGAAGTCAGTGAGGACTTACTACTCTAACGAAGGAGATCCGAGAATCACATTTCGCTGATTGAAAATCTTGGATTTCAGTTCTCCACTTGAGTGGTCGGATGAATCGCCTTTTGGAAGACTCCGTGTACGAAAACTCTAACCATTTTTCGAAAGAGATCGTTTTGTCTTACATTTCGATTGTTAAAAGAAAGATAAAAATACTGATTTTTTTTAAAGTTTACCTAAATTTATATCATCATTTTTTAATTTATTTTTGTAATTTACCGCTTAAAAATGGAAATAACTGTTATTTGTTTTTTTTATCCAATGAAATTAAATCAGAAATAAATTGGAAAATTAGCACTAATAACCAACAAAAAAAATTGTAATTCAATAACTAACTAATTCTTTAAGATCCAATGGTTTAGATTTTGCCACATAATTCATTTTGCTTAGTTATTGAGTTATAAATTTTTTTTGATTATTCACCAAATTCACCCAAATAACTTTTGTCTTTTAGAAAGGAAAATATATCTAAAAAAATGTCCAACTTTTACATGAAAATGACAGACGACCGGACCACTATAGCGAGAAATTTGGAAATGTAATTATCATATTGCCGCCAAAAAAAGGGAACTTTCATACAGTATAATTTTTTTTTTTGAAAATTATCTAAACGAAAAAAACAATATTTTATCCTTGTCGTAATCCATGTCGCAATGAACGGACCCCTTAAATTAATTTTTCTCCCAAATCTACTCATTAACGAGTCATGACAATGATTTTTATTTTGTATACAGATTAATCTTTTTCCCAGATCTGTCTAGGCTAGATTTTTATTATTTTCATTAGTCAATTTTTATTCGACTTTTTCTTAATGAGATTTCTATATAAAGGTTTCGAAAACATTACAAAATCTCCACCACAGATTTTTAGCCGCCAGAAGAACACTGATGTAATTTGAATTTTTTGGTTATCTTTCACTTTCCCGAGAAAATTATAAGTGATCCCGACGGTGAGAATTTTCTCGAGCATAATTTCTCTTGGGAATTTGCTCCAATCTCCTTTT